AATAGACAAAGACAGGCAAAATACAAAACACACAGGCTAGAGTTCTAATATCTGAAAAACAGGGGTTCCATAAAGAAAGGGAGGAAATCATCAAAGAAATAATTCAAGAAATTTACTTTCTATGTCTCCTTTAATCTAAAAAATAGTAATAAAAAAAGAAATTGACTTTCAAACAAATACCTGACTTTGCAGAGTTAAAAAGTATACTCACTAAGACCTTAGAAAAATGGATAAAAATAGAACCACATCTAGACACGCCATCATGAAATTTCCTCATACTGGACAGAAAAGATTCCACAGGCTTGGGGACTTGGGGGACAATTCGAACATAAAGGATCAGGAGCTACAACGGCTTCCGCGTCTCAATGGCATCCCTGACAACAGTACAGTCTTCAAAGGCGAGGACGTCTGTGGCCAGTTTAGGGGTGTTAAATAGCATTTACGTGGGTGTACAAACAAACAAGTGAAACACTGATCTTCTCAAAATTGTGGGGTAACTAAATTGGGTGAATTGAACAATAGAAAAAATGTAACTGAGAATTTTTTGGGGGGAGGGGAAAAAAGAGGTAAATCTTCACATTTCCTCGTGTGAAATGAATAGATAATACCTAAAACTAAAACCAAGAAGTACTGATATAGTCATATTATACCTGTTGTAGAAGCTAATTGTTAAAAAATACCTCATTTTAATCTCAAAATGTTACCCTTTGCAACAGCATGGTTGGACCTGGAGAAAATTATACTAAGTGAAATAAACTAGTCAGAGAAAGACAAATCCCATATGATTTCACTTATATGTGGAATCTAATGAACAAACTGAACTAACAAGCAAAATAAGAGATGGACTGACAGACAGCAGGCAGACAGCTTTGGGGTGAGGAGAAGCTGGAGAGATCGATCAAAAATGGAGAAAAATACTCGTGGAGAGGATAATGAAGAATGCAGGGGAATGGGAGTTGGAAGGCAAATGGTAATGGAAAAACTACAATGAAAAATAAACTATTAAAAATACCTTATTTTTACTCTCAAAATTATCCTCATTGGGCAAAATTATTTGGTCACCTTAATAGTGCTCTCTCCTAGCTCCATGCACTTGCCCTTGTTAGTCTCCTTGCCTTGACTTTCCTCTCCCAAATGTCCTTCTGGAGCAAAAAAGTCCTTCACATTTCTGTACAAGTTCTACTCACAAAAATCTCCTTGAACTGAAGAGTTCTTCTCCTGTGCCTCAAACACTTCGCATACAACTTCACTGTAACCATTACCTCACTCTATTGCAGCTGTCTAGTCGCTTGTCTTCCCGGAGAACATGAGTTCCTGAGAGTGGGGACCACTGTCTCCCTGCTCTGGTCATCCAGCACTGAAAACAGGGCCACACAATGTAACCCACACAATAAACCCACACAAACCCACAGGCACAGTTCCATGCCCATGTTCCGACTAACGGGTGTGAGGATGGGGCTGCAGACGCTGAGTTTGAGTATCTCTGTCATCACGGACACTCGAACGCAGAACCCATTCTCTCCTGAGCTAAGGTAGGTTCAGAAGTTGTTTTAGCTTTACACGTGATCAGATGAAAATGGCAAGCAGATAAGGATTACATTTTTCAGTTCAATAATAACACACATGAATGTCTTTTCAGCTCTTTTGAACTGAATCTGCAGTGTTATCTTGCCCAGTTTCAAGTGAGAATGAATTGTGCCTGGGGTTCCTAAGTGGAGTTAGATGGAAATAACTGGAAGTACTCGAAAACTTCCCCTTTTATTCTAAATTACTGTATTTATTAATTAATGTACTAATCACAGAAGTTCTCAAACATTTATGCCCATTAGAACTACATGAACAGGTGGAAAAATAAAGATTCCCGGATTACTTAGTGAGGCCCACAAATCTGAATTTAAAAAAAACCTCCATCACTCAATTCATTTTTATTTTAAAAATAAATTATATTTCCCCAATAAATTATATTGATTTTCAGTTGGGGACTCTGAACTGTGAGAAACACTGAAGGTTGATGGGGCTCCTTCAAAGCAAAGATACGGCACCAGGTTATACACAGTTGTTATTTACTACAAAGCCCCCAGTTATCTCTGCTGTAGAGACAAATACACAGAGGAATGAAAAGTACTGTTAACTCGCAAACTGTGATGAGTCTGAGATTCTGTCCCACATCTGTGTGTGTGTTATATACTGCATACACATCTACGACATAGATTATATTACACATATCTATTATTTAGTATACATTAAATACTATATCCTACATTATATATTATATATGATGATTATGTGTATTGACACTTGGTGTGTAATATATATGTAATATATAATATACTTAGACACATACTAACATATTTATTGTATATTAAATATATAATTACATCCTCAAGGAAAATAATAATAGATTGAATTACCTAATGAATCAGTGGGCTAGAGACTCAATATAAAACTAAGCTGCTTTAAAGAAAATAAAGAAATGTAACCTTTTATTGCATAGTTGAGAACACGACCTGTGATCCATACCTCACATATAGCTATGATACTGACTGTGAAGCTGAAGAAATACCTTCCTTCAAAACATCTATGTAAAGAACAAAGGCTGTCAAAGTGACAGGCATACCCCAGGCGGGTCCTCCTCTTTCCGTTCAGGGAGGCGTGGCACGGGTGCCCAGGCTGACTGACCATTTCCTGTCTACACAGGGAGACGCAACCTGTCCACAGTCAGCCCACTTACACCAACACTCGCACAGGTAAAGAGGCTACTAATGGCAATGCCAGCCACGTTTAACACTCCACCCACCCTTTTATACAATGAACATGAACAAGTCAGTATAACCAGCTATTTGAACAACTAACAACACAAAAGAAAAAGATCAAATGAAGAGAAAACTACTGACAAGACAGATCCAATAAGAGATGAGAATTTTAAAATCATTTTCAATGCTATTCTAAGACAGATTAAAGAATATATTCATTCATAAGATAAAGCAAACTAATATGCAAGAAGAGACTAACAGAATAAGTCAGAGTCCATATAAATTAAGAATTCAATTATAAAAAATTTTTTTAAATTGTTGAGTTGGGAAAAAATGTAAAGCAATAAAACCAGAAGGTGAAATTATTTTAGAAGTCCAGAATAGTATATAAATCCATAAAGTCTACCATTCATCTCAGGAGTGTCTTTATTGACAGAATAAAGACAATAAAAAGGAGAAATAATCTAATAGAAGAAAATCCCTAGACTCTAAGACATGACTTTTCAGATAAAAGGCATCAGCAAATGTACTTCAGGATAAATAAAAAATAACTCATAAACACATCCTCACTAGTCCACACGTCTCAAAGGGTGCTCCTTCTCAAGCTTTTCTCTGCATCCTCTCCTCCTTGATCTCTAAATTATGTGGCCCCAAGAGCCTCTATTTTCACTTCTTTTCTATTTTACACTCAGCTGCTAAATGATATTATCTTCTCTCATCACTTTCAATGTCATCTATTTATCTCTCCATTTCCAACCTCTGCCCAAAGTTTCACACATCAAAGTGATTTCCCTTCTGCAATCTTACATTTCAAAAGGTAACATCTGAAATAGAATTTTTATCTCAACCCCTATTTTAAATTACTCATCTCCTAGTCTTCTCCATCTCAGTAAACAGCAACCCCATTAAACCAGCTGCTCAGACCACAAAACTATGAGTCATGCTTAAGTACTTGATTACTCATTATCTGCATCCTATTCATCTCCAAGACCAAGATCTAGCATGAATTTATAAAAAAAGTGCACCCAAGAAGACTATTGATTCCCTAACACTATGATGAAGTTGCATTCTCTCTCTCTCTCCCATCCCTCACCACCCTGTTAGTATTAATTCTCTCTCTCATCCAAAGCAATATAATGTCCAAGAACACGAGAATGCATCTCTTTGTCTATGGTACAAACACTATATGTTCTACACTAAATAATATATACATAGCATTTTATATGTTGGATATTGGTTTGAAAATTGAAATAATCAAAATATGAAATACTTATTCATATTTACTAAATTAAATGTAAATTCTATAAACCTGGAAATATAAAAGTAATTAAAACAGGAGCTAATTGGTGAAAATAGATGTGGAGAAATATAGAAGAGCAATACTTTTCTGATCTTACACAGTAGAAAACCAAGAGGCGCTGTAAAAAAATTAATGGGTCAAGAAACAGAACTTTTATAAATTAACAAAAGAATTTTTTTAAATGAGTCTGATAGGGCCTGGGAATGGGACAAAAGAACAAGTATCTGAGACCTAAATTTTCCTCAGATCATAGAGAGAATCAATAGCTATTTTTAAATTGATACACTAACAAATACAGTACATGCACATTATTTAAGACTTGAATTTAACCTCCAGAAAAACTAATGGTAAATGGGTAAATATAACTATTTCCGATGAGTGGAAATAAAGAAAAATGTAGTAAGCCTTACTTTTCATTTAGCATTCCCTTGTGTTTGAATTTTTAATAAGGCATATATTTCTGCTATAATAATTAAATAAACAAATATATAAAAGTGAATATATTAATAAAAATGGAGCAAATGATTACACCTAATCTAGTTTTATGTCTAAATTTTCACCCATGTTTATCTGAATAAGATTTTATAAGGAGACACCCATTTTTGTTTGGTCAGAAGCATAAAAGATACAAATATTGATCTAGGATATTTTCACCCAGTTTTTATTTTTAATTCACTAAGTACGAAGATTGTTTAACTACTCTTTGCTCAAAATATGTGGATACCAGGGTATGAACTTAATGAAAAAACTCATTAAAAGGAACTTTCATGTCTATAACTACAAAAGGTCACACACTGATTCACTGTAATTTGTCCCCTCAAAGAACTGCAGGACTGTGAACCCCTCTTAAGGGAGACACGGCAATTTTAAATGCGGTAAATATCCCCACTGTCCTAATGCTACCTCTTGTCCTATTTCTATGTTTATAAACACGGCACTATTTTTACCTTGAGTAATGCATGGCTTGGTGACCTGCAATATTAAAATAGAAGTCTGTTGTGTGCTTCATCTCATTGGTGTGCCCAGTGGCCTCGATCCAGTGTCCTATCGGGAGACAATAAACGCCATCCACCACGTTGTTTTCATTGTAAGTACAGCAGCGGTCATGGTGAGGCCCATTGCCTGGAGCAGGAAGAAATGAGAAACAGAGCAATTGAGAGTTTTCCTTGAACAGTCACAAAGTCGCTGACACACAATTAACAGAAAGATGAAAATAAATATAAAACTGCATAATCTACATGTTTCAATATTAAAAAATAGAGGAGAGTGAGGGGGAAAACAATAGAAATTTCTAAAATGTTCGTTATGAATGTCAGAGAGTTCTGTGTTCTTTTGAGCACATGGACATTTCCAAAAGCACATTAACTCTTTCCAAATTTCATGGTGCTTCTCAGTGCCTTAAGAGCCTCTTGTGGATTATTTTACAGCCTGATAAACTGCTGAAAACATTTCTTAAAGCAATCAATGTTCCTGTATTACATATTTTTAATTCTGGTATACAAATTCACCATTAAAATCACCAATAGATCTTCCAGTCAAGATGACAGTGTAGGTAAACATGTCTCACCTCCTCATGCAAACATCAAAATGACAACTATAGAACATCTATCATTCAGAACCACTGAAAATTGAGCTGAAGGAAAGTCCTACAACTACAGAATTAAAGAAGAAACCACATGGAGACTGGTAGGAGGGTTGGAGACTCAGAAGAGCCTGGTTATACACCCACATGTGGTGGCTAAAAGTCAGGAGGGACATCTCGGAAGCAAGGGGTCCCAGCCCCACACCAGCCCCTGCAGCCTTGGGATCCCATGCCAGAAAGATAAGTTTCTATAACTTCTGGCTGTAGAAACCAGCAGGGATTGAGTCTGTAGAAGACAGAAACTGCTAGAATCTGAAGCAGTTCCTCTTGAAGGGCCCATGCACAGACTTACTCAGACTCACTCCCTCTGAGACCAATGCCAGTACACCAGATTGAAAGGCATTAGAAATATATGGAGAGGAAAGGAATTGCCTGGCATCAGGGCAAGAGCTGGGGGAGGGCAGCTTTCTCCCAGACAGAAATGCTGCAGAGGCTCCTGTTCCTCTTCTGAGTTCTCCCTGCACAGACCCAGCAGGTGGGGACCATATATGAGACTCCATCGACCTGGCTAAACTATTTGCTCCACTCTAGTGATTCCTTGTGGCCCTGCCCTACCCAACTATCAGGCACACACAAGCTGTTTCCAGTGGTTTTTCCATCTGAATGACTTGCCTTGGCCCATGCTTCCAATTTTCCCAAATTCTCTCAAACAAGCTGGATCTGGCTTCAGCAAGCTCCAAAACTCTTCCTCAGTTGCCCCAGGCCCAGCACTACAGAAGCCATCCTTGGTGCACAGCTTCACCTCTCCTGGTGCCTCCAAGCCCAGCACAAAGTAGCAGCCGTCTACAGATTGCTTTGTAGCTAATGTTCTGTGACTCCAAACAGAACACAGGCAGTGGCTGACCTTAGACATGCCAAACACAATTGAAGCTCAAGTACAAGAGGAGCATGCACACAGTCCATAAAGTGGGCATACCTTAAGTGTCCAGCTTGGGTGATAGGGGAGGCTGTGGCACTGGGCCTTCAGGATACCTGTTATATTAAGCCCCTCTACCAAGCCTGGAGATGTAGTAGCTCTACCTAATACATAAAAACACAGGGAGGCTGCCAAAATGAGGAGATAAAGAAACATGGCCCAAATGAAAAAACAAATCAAAACTCTAGAAAAAGAACTAAACAAAATGAAGAAAAGTAATCTGTCAAATGCAGAATTCAAAATACTGGTTATAAGGATGCCCAAGGAACTTAGTGAGTGTGGCAGACTCCAGCCAGCAGAGTCTGCCTGTTGTGGCTGATAATGAGAATGAATGCACAGGTGACAACAATCCTGTGTGGAAAAAGGGAACAGCACGACTACTCTCTCAAGGGGAGAGTGCCTATGGATACCTTGGCCACTCCCTCAAGAGGGGAGCGCCCCGACCCTTGCCTAGACAGGCTTTTATTGTTTTCCTGGGGTCTTACATCAGAGAAGGATTTATTATCTATTACATAGAATATTACTGTCTACATTTTAGGTACAATCAAGGAAATTAAAATAACATGCAGAGGGGAATGGCAATGAGCTGATTAGCTCTGTCCTTGGGCAAATTTACACAGGCTTTGGAAATTACCTTGAAGACAGACAATACACATTTGTTGTTTTAGACCAGGGTGATGGAGTTTTAGTAAGAGCAAGCCATAATAGTCTGTATGTGTTTTCTAGGCCTGATTCCCATGGGAAAACTCAGTTTGAAGGTCTGGCTCCTGCCCACCACTTCACTTCTGTAGGTTTTCCATACAGAGCTGAGTCACATTTGCCAGACTAAAATAAACCAGTCCCCTACAAGTGAGGACTTCAACAGTCAGAAAAAATACCCAGTCAGAAATGAAGAGTACATTAATTGAAAAATAACAATTTACAAGGTATCAACAGTAGAGTAGATGAAGCTGAGAATCAAATCAGCAATTTGGAACATAAGGAAGCAAAAAAAAAAGTGATCAATCAGAACAGCAAGAAAAAAAAGAATTTTAAACAATGAGGATAGTATAATGAGCCTCTGGGACAACTTCAAGCATACCAACATTCACATCACAGGGAGCCAGAAGGATAAGAGGAAAAGCAAGAAACTGGAAACCTATCTGAAAAAATAATGAAAGAAAACTTCCTTAATTTGGTGAAAGAAATAGACATACAAGTCCAGGAAGCACAGAGAGTACCAAACAAAATGGACCCAAAGAGGCCCACTCCAAGACATATCATAATTAAATGCCAAAGGTTAAATACAAAGAGAGAATCTTAAAAACATAGACAGCTGATTTCTCAAAAGAAACTTTATAGGCTAAAAGGGATTGACAAGAAATATTCAAAGTGATGAAAAACAAGGACCTACAACCAAGAACACTCTTCCCAGTAAAATATCATTAGAATCTAAGGACAGATAAAGGGCTACCCAGACAAGAAAAAGCTAACAGAGTTCATCATCACTAAGCCAGTAGTAAATAAAATGTTAAAGGATCTTCTTTAAGCAAAAGAAAAAAAGATAAAAAATATGAACAGAAAATGGCAGTAAATACATATCTATCAACAACTGAAACTAAAAAAAAAATAAATAAACAAGCAGAACAGAAACTGAATCACAGATACAGAGAACACTTTAATGGTAGCCATATGGCTGGGGTTCAGGAAAGAGGTGAAGGGACTAAGACGTAGAAATTGATAGTTAAAGAATAATCATGGGGACATAAAGCACAGCACAGGGAAGAGGGGAGACAAAGAACATGTATGCAGGACCCATGGACGTGGACAAGGAGGTGAGGACTGCCTGAGGGAGTGGAAGAGCTGGATGGAGGGGGAGAAAGGGGGGAATTCTGTAGCAACTATAAGAGCATAAACAATAAAATTGTTTTAAAGTAAAAAATAAAAAATAAAAAAAGTAAAATCAGCTATAAAGTATTTCTGTTTCAGGTCAAAAATAAACACACTTTTAAAATAATATATTATTAAATAATTAAAAAGTGATCATATCCAATGTAGTTGGCTATGTAAATCAGTAGTATCATTTTCAGATGGGGACACTAAGAATCACAGAGATTAACTAGTCTGTCCAAGGTCACAGAACTAGTAAGTACAGAGCTGGTGGTAACCTAATGCCCCTAGTCCTCACCTTTCCAAAATCTGATACCTTCACACTGTTTTTGCCTTTCTCACAAACATCTCACCAACCATCCTCTTTCCAGTGAGTGGAGCAAAAATGGCAGAAATGGAAGAATGTGTCCCTGAAAACATTATCTGCCCAGTATCAACTACACTTTACTTCTATGAAATGTACATCATACATTACTTTCATTAGCAATTCTCATGTCACCACCTCATTTCAAACTATTTTTCCTTTAGATTACTTAATTTCCATAATTGTCATTAATAAAAAATAAGCAAACTAAAAATAGGAATAAGTCACATCTGTTATGGATGTAAAATTTTGACTCATTTTTCCCTTGCTCTGTCTTGTAAAACATAGAATCTAAAGTTATTTGGCATAAAATCTCAAAAAAATCCTTAAGTCATTGGGCAATTCTTTAAGGCTAAAATCCCCCTCCATCAGACAGAAGGTATAGGATGGCTGCCTTTATAAATCGTCACTTATCTTCCTGGACCAGACTCCTCTTTTGCTCTTCATAGCTACACGACACTTTACCAGCTGCTCTATCAACCCTGATATCTCATCCATGAAAACTAAACTATACTAGCAACGCCACTTCCAGAAATATATCTAAAGGAAATATTAACAAGAGTAAAGGAGGACACATACAGAGACATATGTGTGTGTGGCAATACTATTTTAATCACAAATACTGCAACCTATATGTTTATCTATACATTCTTCCACAAATCTGTGAGTGACAACTATATGACAAGCACCGCGATCATTCATGTTAAGGATTTAGGTATTCACCATAAAAGCAATTAAACAACTGAAATACTTTAAGCAGGCAAGTGACAGGACCAAATCTGTGCTTTGTAAAGACCTCTCTGGTTACAGAGAAAAACATTAATTCAAGAGCAATGAGATTGGAAGCAGAAAATCCATGGGAGGAGATCACGAAAGCCTCGAGGTAGAAATGGAAAGGAGTGAGTGGGAAGGCTCGCGAGGAAAAAGCCTTACAGCTTGGTGATTCATTAGATGTAGGAGGTGAAGAAGAAGGGAATCAATAGGCTTCTAGCGAGTATAACTCAATATCTAGTGGTTTCATTCACTGAGACGTGAAATCTGGAAATAGTTGGAAGGGAGGCTCATTAGTCTGGCTTGGCATGCTGGGCTCAGAGTGTTCTTTGGATAGCCAAAAGGGGATGTCAAATCGACAGTCTGAGATGCTGATTTGACACTCAGACTAGCGATCTGGACTAGGAAAATAAATTTATGACTCACCTGAATGGAAATGGCAATTGAAACACGGATACAGATGAATCACAAAGAAACACAATGTTGACTGAGAAGAAAAGCATTTTCTTCTAGAACCCACACCTCCCTCCCACCCCCTCCAAACCCCTCCAAACCCCCCC